GCTTTGTACAGGAGATGGGTGTAAGAACTGGCCCACAAAGGAGCTGGTTCCACCAAAAATCTCTTCCTGAGTTTCTTGATCTGTGAAGCATTGACTGGTTCCACATTCCAAATTGCAAACACAAGTGAAAAAAGCTTGTTTAAGAACAATTGGACTGTCTTCATATGCAGAATGGATCTTGAGCTTTGTACAGGAGATGGGTGTAAGAACTGGTCCACAAGGTAGCTGGTTCCACCAAAAAATCTCTTTCTGAGTTTCTTGATCTGTGAAGCATAGACTGCGAGTACAAGACAAAATTGATCTTGAACTCCACACAAGATTGGTGTAAGAACTGACCTGTATAGGAGTTGATTTCATATTGCCTTTCTCTGGTGCCTTTGTTTCCCTTTGTGTAAAAGAAACTGACACTACAAAAGAACTGTTCAAAAATGTCTATAGTTGCTCTGATTTGAATTTCAACTTTTTGCATTATTGAAACTGATCTTGAGAAAGTTTTAGTTTTCTCTTTTCTTCAAATTTAATTAACTTACCTATTTATTTTTTTCTGAATTCAGTTTTACAACCCAGATAAAATTTGAAAATTTATGTGACTACTCAGCTCACTTAGTATATGTACTATTTTGAGTAGGATTTTGCCAAGTATTAAATCAATTTTATTCACTGTTTTGATTACTTATTATTTATTTTCTGGCAAATAAATAGCTGGTGCTGACTTGCAAACTGAGGAAAATTACTAATTAAATAATGATTAGAATTGATGATAATTTATTAACCCCTAAGTTTATTAACAATTTATTGATTAATTAACATTCTTCAAATAAAATGTTTAACCTTCACAGGATTTTAAGACCAAAGGTATTCAACCTTACGACCAAGGATGTTGAACGTGACAATCTTTCATCCACTTCACCAGAATACAGGTAGTCTCATTTGGAAACTTCAGATTGTCTTGAAATAGGTCCGCTAGGCGTACATATGGAACTAGCCTTAATTACTTACCCTTTACCCACGTTCAGTTTGGTTATAATTCAATCAATCAGTTTTTATTCCTTAATGTACATTTTACAGTTGGACTGGCCCATGGATAGCTAGCACTAGTCTAGGCAGGCCAGTCTATCAATAGTTACAAAAGTTTTTTTTTAATATTATTATTAATAAATAGGGAAATAGAAAGTTAAGAAAAAATGAATAAAATAAAAAAGAAAAATTGGGAAAAGAATGAGAAAAGAAGTGAGGGGTAATTAAAGATCCAAATTTGGGGTTACCATTCATTGAAAGTGTAATTTGTCCTGTGGATCTGTACACAATGTTCTGTTTTGGATGCAACTCTGCAAGAAATTTTACTATGCTTGTAAAAGGGCATTACAAAAAACAAAAAATCAGTTGGGGTATCTGCAAAACAACTGGCTACAGTTTTCAATCAGAATGCATTATATACCTGACAGCCAATCATTGAGTCAGATAACTAAAAAATACAGNCTCGCTATAGTTGGTTTTGATTGTGCCGGTTTTGGTACATCAAGTACAAGTGCATGTAAAATTCGGAGATCTGGTTTAAGTTTAAGTCATCGAAGGTATTACATAAGTTTAAGGAGCTTCTAACTAAGTTGTTACGATTATGTTCTTATGGAATAATATTATAAGTCTCTTAATTGGTGGAAAATATTTGTATGTTCTAAGTCACATTCTCTTCTATTTCAGATGCCTTTGAAAAGACCAATGTGGGGAAAGGCGAAAGACAAAAGACAATCTTGCAAATGCCCTGAAAAAAATGAGGGCCAGACAGGAAAATTCTCAATCTTGGAAGGAAAGCAAAAATTGATGTGGAAAACAGCCACACCAATAACTAGCATTTGTTTTATACTTATACCGAGAGTTTTGAGCTCTCGTCCTTGTGGTACAACTTTGCATGCACGCATGCGCGTTTGGTATCATATTTAATAATAAAATTTATAATAATAATAATAATAAAATTATAAAATTTTCTAAGTCTTTTGGCGGGAAACGTTTGTATATGTTAAGTTCACTTGCGACCTCTTTCTTTCAGATGCCTTGAAAATGACAAGTTTTAAGAAGTGCCCAGAGAAAAAATTGTCAACCTTGGAAGGAAGGCAAAAGTTGATGTGGAACACCGCCACCTCCCCGCCACCACCACTAACTAGCATTTATTTTATACTTATAGCAAGAGTTTGGTCCACCCATCCTTGTGGTAGAGTAGCCTCTAATACGCATGCGTACTAGGGGATGTGTCCCAGTTACAAGAAACCCAATGTACTGTACGTCGTGACTGTAAGTAACTGATAATTTCGTGTCGGTTTAAGCCGAAGTTCAAACTTCG